AACACCTGAGGCGAAACAATATTTATTAATGGCAGTTTCGACACAAGCAACTATTATTTAAACCTTATTTGTATGTGCAATTATACAAACGCGTCTTTATCGTTAATGTTTACACAAACTTTAGTTGTTTTTAGTAACTTTAATAATTATAACAAACTAAAAATATGGCTTAATAACGTTGGACAAGTCAATCGGTCAAACTGCACGGTTCCTATTGGAAATACCTGATGCCTACTCCTGTAATTGTAATTAAATGACATTTGTGATTATCACCGAAACCGAAATCCACGCGCGCAAAGCCCCGAAAGATGGTTATTTTTTAGGGTTAATTACTAAGACTCCGCTGTCCGTCTGTCCATCTGTCACCAGGTTATATCTTATGAACCGTGATAGCTAGACAGTTGAAATTTTCACAGATGAATTATTTCTGTTGCCGCTATAACAACAAATGTTAAAAAACAGAACATACAAAAAAATATATAAGAGGGGCTCCCATAAAACACTGCGAGTCCAACTCGCACTTTTTAATATATGATGAGGGGACGATTTAATAAGGAGTAGTAAATTGATTTGGTATGAGCACCTTGCGAGAAAGTTATGTGGTTAGAAGAGCGTTCAATATGAATGTGGTTGAAAGTGTGAGGTTAGAGGAAGACCAGGAAAGGTTTGGATGGACTTTGTGAAGAAGTGATATATGTGTGAAAGCGGTAGGTATTGAGATGAAGGCTGGAAAGGCTGAAAAAAGTGGAAAGTGGAATAAAAGGACAGACCTCACCTAGTATGGGACAAGAGCAGGAGAAAGAAAGAAATATCCAACTAAAAAAATATATCCTACAATTTTTTTTAAATAACTGATGTTATAATTTACTTTCCATCACATAATAAAGGTGTTGCCCGAGTTATGCAAGTGTAACACATCGCTTCAGTTACTATAGAATGCCTTATAACATTTCTAAATAATTTAACTTGTGTATTCACTTCGAAATAGAATGTCCTTATAATTCGTGCTAAAGTAATTTGTTAATTAACTGCGGTCGAATGTGGAAGCTGTTTATCTTTCATCAAGGAAAGTCGACGATCGCCTAAAGGAGTACTTGTAGAACTCATCTTGAATAGTATAACTTAGCTAATGAACATTTATATTATGAAATAATGTTTCACAACACACCAATCAACAACCCTAAAAATTGACAACCATAAAATATTATTTTCTTACTACTGACAGACTTCAATCTATAGCGCAGTTGCTAAGCCATTGGCTTCGGCGCCGGGATTGTGGGTTCGGTTCCCACATGCGATAAGTATTGGTGTGGCCCACAGTAAACTTTTTCGAATCTGAGTTCGATTGTACAACAAACCTGCCAGCTAATAAACAATAACAGTAAGCTAGCTAATAAAATACATCAATATTATCAACCGCTCCGTTGCGTCATGACAACAGGACAAACAAACACACTTGCATTTATAATATGAGTATGGATTAATATTTCCAAATATACGGAATTAAAGAAGGACAAACGCATTGTTACTTTTAGTATGGATTGATTTAAATACATATTAAGATAATTAAATACAAATCAAGACCAAACGGCTAATTGAATCGCAAAAGACTTCTTAAATTTTTTGAATGGCTATTAGAATAGTACAAGTATTAATTACAAGAAAACTCATCTGAGCGTAGCGGTTTCGCGAACATTACACACTTTTCTAAAACCAGGTAAATATAACATCATATTTCCGCCAAAAAGCTACATAACAAAAATAACAGATCATAACAAAACAGAGAAACATCACAATCTTTGGACTTGCCAGTCTCCAGCATTTGTTTACTTCTGAGTTTCCCTTCCCTGCAATATTTTTCTAAGCGAAATGGAATGTTGTTATTTTAACAAATGCTGTAAACATCAATTCCTTAGATAAACACGAAAACCCAGCGTCCAATATTCTCTTGGTTCCGGGGCAATATTGGTTTTTTACTGACGTATTGACATTTACACAAAACAATTACTATTAGAAACTATATATATGTGTATATATATATATATATATATATATATATATATATATATATATATATATATATATGACTTAATTTAAAATTAAGCTAGGAGTTAGTACCTACACTCAAATTTAGTTTTATCGATAAAATTTGACGATTTTCCATTCGATACAATGATTTTAACACTAATACATTTCGGCGACGACAATTGGGGCGTATTGGATAGGACACCTGCATCTTGCACCAAATACCTGAAAGGATTATGCTGGGAATAGGTGTGAGAATGGGAAAGTGAACAGAATCACTATGAGAAAGGCTTTATCATAGTGATTCTGTTGAAAGTCGACAACAAACTTAACATGGCACAATCCCTGAAGGACCTTGGTACTATGGTCAACTACATCTGTATCCTAACGTGTGGATCTCATTATGGAGACCTTGGTACTATGCTCAACTACCTCATCTGTATGCCAACAGGTGGACCTCATTATGAACATGGACAAGACGAAGATCTTCATGATCTAATCGTGACTTGGACAAGACGAAGGTTATATTTAATTGTGACTAAACCCCGATGTTGCAAGTGTCCATGGGCAACAGTTATCGCTAACCCTCTTGTGCGTTTAACCGACTTCAAAAAAGGAGGAGGTTTCTCAATTCGACATTTTCATATTATATATATTCGTGGATAACTTCGTCGTTTATGAACCGATTTTGATGATTCCTTTTCTGTCGGAAAGGCGATATCCCAAGGGTGGTGCCATGATAAGAAAATGCGGATCTGATGATGGCATCCACGAGAAATCGAGGGCCATCATTGAATGTTGTAGGTATTAACAATGTTTTTAATTTTCTGATTGAAGTCGGGTTTTTTTGTGTTAATTAATTAAAAAATGTCCATGTCCCGTCTATACTGGTGATTGTTTGGAACATTGCGCTTCAAGTAGTTGATGTTGTGTAGGTAGTATGTTTACCTAAAAGATTTCGACCGATTAGGTGTCCAACTTCGCATCAGAGGTCAGTCGGCGTACTCGGATGGGCAGAGTTCGGGAATTTTCGACAAACGTCCTTTACCAATATAGTTGCAGATGTGGTGCAACATATAATAACGTGCACCGAGATTACCTCACTCACCAGACGAAACGCAGAAGTATGTCTTCCACTTGACGCCAGTCTAGTGTGAGGTCGTGGTACTCCGGACGGTCCTGCCCATTCGGGTAACAGTGAAAACTGTTTGTCTGTCCCTATGTATGCTTAGATCCTTAAAACTACGCAACGGATCTTGATGCGTTTTTTCTTACTAGATACAGTGATTCAAGACGAAGATTTATATATGTATAATACATTGCTGCCGTGCGAAGCCGGGGCGGGCCGCTAGTAATTTTATAAATAGAACGCAGCCTTCGGAAGCTGTTACGCGGCCCTACCACAGAATATAAACAAAACAACAACAAAAAGTGCAGATTCTCCATTATTCATAAATAACATAAAAATCACAAGCACCGCTCTATGTTTACCATTTACATTTATGGAACACGAAATTAAATTCATTGAAAAAAACACCAACTCTTCATTAATTCATTGTTAACCAAGAAGCGCTTGAATTATGTTTTATACCACTTACCTGTCGTTATCTACAATTGGGGAATTAAAGGCGTCGCAATTTCAACTTTCCCTATTGGAACTCGCGTTTCGAGTGGCCCCCGAAGCTTACCAAACGAAAGATCTCGTAAATAAACGTTTAAAACCACTCGAAAATAATAAGATTCTATACTTAAGGGCGGCCTGTCTTTAAATAATTGAATTCGTTAGATCTTCAAATTTAATTGGACAACTGAAATAAAACCGGCCAAGTGCGAGTCGGACTCGCGCACGAAGGGTTCCGCGTCATTATCTATTAAAACGGAATAATCATATGGGTTGTATGGGAGCCTCACTTAAATATTTTTTATTTTATTCTGTTTTTCAGTATTTATTGTAGCAGCAACAGAAATACATCATCTGTGAAAATTTCAACTGTCTATCATGCTTCAGCCTGGTGACAGACGGACAGACAGACAGACAGACGGAGTCTTGGTAATAGGGTCCCGTTTTACCCTTTCGATACGGAACCCTGAAAATGATAAAAATATTTTTAAAAAAGAAATCGGTAAGACTTTTATAAGCCCTTTTCAAATTCCACCAAAAAATTTATTAAAAGGAATATTTTTTATTAAAGCAAAGGTCTCTTCTTTGTTTCCATACTTTCCGGTCTAATGACGTTTGTAAATTTGGAATAACTGAATAAAAAAAAAGTAAAAAGAACCTCAAGCCATTGTTGCGACAAAGGACGTAAATAAAAAGTTTAAAGTACGAAAGAATATTTATTCGTCTTATAAATTTAAGAATTTGTATACAGCAATTTGTCTACATTTCATTCAATCATTCATAATTATAGTCACATTCATATGTGCAATATGAAAAGATCTACAAAAATTCCCCTTTTTTATACCAAGGCTCGCGAATCCGCAGTCACATACTTCTAAATTATCTTCCGCGAGAGCAAAACTGAAAAGAAATAAGTAAGTACAAAATAAAGTCACATATGATCACAGAGCAAATATTGTCATCAGAAAACTTATTTTCCGTGACGCACAGAACAGTAACTTATTACTACTAGATCCCAAATATTTTTAAATATTTTGAAAATCAATTTAAAAACATTCGGTGGCTTTACCACTTTTACCAGCAGTGGACAAGAACATGCTGAAATTATGATAATGATTAAAGGTACAGATAAAGGGCATAGTGGGTGTCACCGGTCTGTGAGGGAGGCCTATCTCAGCAGTGGGCTAAAACAGGCTAAAATGATCATGATCATGATGTTGATGATTATGATTATGGTGATCATTATCATGATAATGATAATGGTTATTATCATATTGATAATCATAACCATGATGATGATCGTGATGGTGAACGGTAAAGATAAAGGCGGAAGACGAAGACCCACCCGGGGCTAGCTGGCGGCCGTGGACGAGCTCTTGCTCATGAGCTTCGCAACCATCTCCTGGACACGTTTCATCTCCTCCAACTGCGTAGTGACCTGGTAAAGGCGGTTCTCCCGCTCCACCACGGTCTTCTCCAGCTGCTTTATCACCTGTATGACATAGGCAAAGGTATGTTCAGTACATCTTGTTGGGAGATGAGATCGCAGTCTCACGACGATTGTAAATCATTCAATCATCTTACATTGTCTTTTTGCTCCAACTCCCTTCTCAAGGCGCCGTCGGACGCTGCCGCCTCTTCGAGTTTCTTGTCGCGTTGCTTCACTCTCTCTTCGAATTTTATCAGCACGCCGGCAAGTTCGCTGTTCTTGCTCGCCTACGAACAGAGAGCCGAAGACATATCTCAGGATACAGACTAAATTTTCACACAATTTTCAAAAATTTTCTAGTCCGAAACTATGCAACGCTTGTGCTATGGGTACTAGTTTCTTAAACATACTTAGACATATTAAATTAATCTAGTTTACAGATTTAATTTTTATTTTTATTTTTAATTCCCGACGTTTCAAACCCTTTCCAGCGTTCATGGCCACGTGACAGACTGAGTTGTTACATGTCTTGATGTCAAAGTTAACCCGAGCTACCATCAATGGTTTTGTTATTTATTCTATTTATTTTAATTGCCATAAAAATCAAAATTAAAACGCGATAAAATTCTTAAAAGTTTCATTTGATATGTATAATATTCGTGTAAAATCAAGAAATCAATATATTTAGACATACTTTTCTTTACTAAAATAAATAAATATTATAGATATATGTACAACCATACAATAGAAAAACATTTTGTCGCTCACATAATATTTTCCCAGCAATGCGGATTGAACCCAACTAATAAACAACATTTTTTTTCCAAACAAATACATATAATAACAACACAACCACAAACAAATACATTCACAGCCAGATGCTAGAAAGACCTACTATGTTCCCCACATAATATTGTCGCAGTAGTGGGGATCGAACCCAGAAACAGAGACGTTAGAGACAGGTTCACTATCCACTACGCTAACTGAGTCGTCATCGGGTCATCCACTACACCAATCGGGTCTTCAACTGATAAATAATATCGGACTAGAACGGGATTCAAACCCTGAGCTCGTACGCACCTGCTGCTCCAGTTTCTTCTGCAACGCCTTATAGTCCGCCTCGGCTTGCTTCAGCCTATCTTCTGCCTCTTTCTCGCGACGCCTCATTTCGTTCTCGACGTTCTGTAACAAACGACAAATACACATCACTGTTTCTTAAAAATGTATATTAATAATATAGTTACGTATGCTTATACCCTCCGTACCGAGACCTTTACCCAGCAGTGGGCATACATGTGGGCTGTCACTTTACTTTCTTTTAAGGTGATGTATATATCCATATATGTAAAGTAAAAGCAATGTACAGATTACACATTTATGTTTATAGAAATTAACTTTTTCAATGTTTTATTTAGAATGGTAAAAAGGATCTTTCTAGATTTAAAGATAATATACATATGAAATATTATTCTAATATCCTCCATAGTGAGGAGGCTTTTACCCAGCAGTGGGGCATAAACAGACTGTCACTTTCTTTTAGGTGTATGCATCCGTATGTAAAGTAAAAGCAATGTAAAAATTACACATATATATATATATATATATATATAATTTAATTTCGAATGAAGCATTCTAAATATAAAAAGTAAAAAACGCTTTCTGAAGCTTACCGCAAGAGCTTCAGAGAGAAGATGAGATAAAGGGCACTTACTGCAATCTCCGCCCTGAACTCTTTCCGCAAATTGTCTTTCTGGTTCTCCTTATCAAGTCTTTCGGCGGCGAGTTTCGCTCGGAAACCGCGAAGGGTGACCTCAGCGTCTTCTAGCTGCTTGTGGAGATCCTCTATAGTCTTTCTGTGCCTAGAAGATGGATGCAGGAGAAATATGGATTACTTAATATACATAAAAGCAAACTATAGCGGTTCAAGTACATTTATGAGTAAGATAAATATTGCAATTTTCAACAAGATTTTAATGTAAGCAGCATTAAGACACAATACTTTTGAAACAATGTGATAAATGCTAAAAAACAGAAAAATAAATATACATATCAAAAATAAAGCTGTGACAGCACAATATGCTTGCTTGTAATTAAATATAATTGAGCAATCTGAGTTCAAATCCGGTCTGGTGACAATGAAGTTGTTAATTGTCACAAAGTACTTACTTCTACAAAGTACTTAGTACTTACTACTACTTATCACTTGCTCAGTGGTGAACGAGAGAATCGTGAGGAAATCTGTTTATTTTCCAAGAAATGAAAAATATTGCGATGATATGTGAAGACTGCCAAACTGGAATGGAGTCACGAAGGGCTCTATGCTTTATTAACCTATGTACAGAGGCCTTTGCCCAGTGGTGGGACTTATGTAGGCTCTTTTTTTATACTTAATTGTTTTCCACGTCTTCCATAAAAAGCGCTCTCAAAATCGAATGCGAATTAACGTAGTTTGATTTGCACCGCAATTAAAACTATTCGAAGATGAAAATGATTAAAACAACAAAACTTTAAAAGATGAAATAAAAAAAACATGACAAACTTACTTTAATATTCTGAAAAAAGTACTGGATATCTAAAAAAAAAGATGCATCGGCCGGGAATCGAACCCGGGCCGCCCGCGTGGCAGGCGAGCATTCTACCACTGAACCACCGATGCTTATATGCTACACTGTAATTTTGTTATTACAATTGTAAACATTATAAGTATAATATATGCTTACTTCTCATTTTGCATTTGTGTTGTATACAAAACATCTTGTTGAGAAGAATTCGTTGCTTGTAATAATGCCAGCGCATGTTGGAGTGACGCCATATGATCTGTTGCCCCCTAACAACAAATATTCCAAAAAAAAAATACTAATGACAATATTGTAAAGATATATTATGTAAATTTATTGTAATATATTTTATTTTATTCCTTATAAACTCGATCGCTACAGTAGCGCCATCTATGCGGTTTAGTCACAAACCATAGCTACAATTGTTATAGTTGTCAATTATACATTAGATGGCGCTTTATTAAGTTCTCATGACTGATTTTCCGCTTCATTTAAAACGAATCACATTAATAAAATGCATTATATACATTCCCATAAATAATGACTAAAATGAAATCTTCAAAACACGTTAATTTTCATGACATCATTACAGCAGCCTTATTTAAATAAATTTATAGTTTCATAACATATTAACAATACATATTACCAAAATTTATTCACCAAATTGTTGTATCAAAAATAACTAACAGATGAGAGAAAAGATAATAAGAAACACATTTCATCATTAATATGTGGTACCATTATCATATGACTATTTTACGGATTTTATTGCGTTTACATTTGATAATTTTATTTTAATTCCAGAAGTTCCAAACATTTTAGGTTCATATACTATAATAGGCACAGGACAGACTATGAACAATGTAATAATTATTAGTATTATCATTGAGAAGTATTCGCATAAATCCAAGAAATCACTATTTAGTGTCATTATTTTGAATGTTTTCTTGGTTGACCATTTATGTCAATGTTTCTGACCATGTCAATTTAACTGACCTGCAATGCAACAGAATGTGAATGCAGTCTCTGTTCCAGACAGGACATTTTATATCCATACAGCTCCATCACACTGGACGTCGCTATATCTGAAATCTGACAACAAGAAATAACATTAGATATAGGGCCATATATAATAACTATGTTAAGGCGCTGTATGCAGTAAAAATAGGTTTTTCAAAAGATTTTTTAGCAAAATCTAAACATTTTATAGCAGCAAAAAAAAATATGTTAATCTTGATCGTACATTCTAAGGGAACATTGTTTCCAAAACATATTCTCGATATATTTTCTCGATAGAAAAAAATCATGAAACTACCTCTAAAAGAGAAATTCAAAACCAAAAATGAACGTAATACATCAACAAATCTTAATGAAATTAATATCAGTGGTGTAGAATATATTAATAAAAAGGATTGTTGTTTTAATTTTTTGATTGATGTAAGATATTTCTAAATATTAATTTAATTCATTAAAATTAATTCGAACGCGACGGCCAAAACACCGCGCCACCGCGGCGTTGTTTCGGCTCTCTTCCAACTCCACACGTTGAACAGACAGCGCTGAGGCGCCTTGCTAGATGGGCCTATGCTGCTTGTCTTCCGCTCACCGTTACGAAATATGTTCCGTATTTATTTATTATTGAGTGTTATAATTTTATTAGATCATTCGAAAACACGAAACTAAAAAATATATATTCACATATTTCGTATTTTTAATTATTTGTATGAATTAACAACTAAAGCGTAATTTCAATATCTTATCTTGTCATTGATAAGTTTATCAGTCCTATACAAACAGTGTAAAGGCAGGGATGCCAACTTAGGAATTTTCTTCCGAAATTTAGGAATAAAAAATGTGGAATGGAAGTTTATTGGGAGGTAAATTTTTATGGGAATATTTTTAGAGTTAAATTTTATTCACATTTTCGAAAAAAACTACAAAAAACAACTTATTTAAAAAAAATTCAGTGCTGCTTTGGATGACGTCAGACCAAGGCCTATGTGTCTGGTATGAATATTTTTTAAATTTTATATTTTTTATGAATATTTTTTGAATTTTATATTTTTTGATGATTTTCTTTTTGTAGGTATTGTATTTTTTTTAATTTACCATTTAATTTTTGTTGATTTTTTTGTTTTTATAAATAATTACAACGAAATATTATTGTATTTGTTGAACGTAGAACGCAACAGTTGGAGAATAATCTATCAGATAATAAACCAAGTTTTCATTATTTAAAATGTTTAACAAGTCTTATATTGTATGTTGTTTTTAATTTGTTTTATTAAAATATTTAATTTTTCACCCTAAAACGAAACCTATTCTTTTACGCACACGAAAAATAATTGTTTTATAATTTTTGTATTTTCCACATTTTATCAAATAACAACAAAATAATTAATTGATTAACAAATTAAAATTGGAAAAAGATGTATCAACCATGACGCTTCGACCAATAGGCTACACGATGTCTGCGGAAGGGAACAATATTTCAATTCTAGTTATAATTGTTGTCGTTTATCGATATAAGGAATTTTATCGATAATTTTTTAAATCTAATTTCATTGAAGAATTAATATAACGTAGTAAGTCTTTCACATTTAAAGGATAAATTAAAGATATAAAGTTTAATAAAATATGTAACAAAAAAGTATTCGTAATTTCTGCCGAGGAGACTATGAAATTGCTTAAAATTTTTATGCGAAAATTTTACTTTAAATTAAAATAAATAATTATTCGTTTATTTATTGTTTTGTTGTAAGAAATGTCATTTGCCTCTATTAATTTATTTCACCTTAACATGTATTTTTAATCAATTTTAATCCGTTTCCTGATAATTTAAAATAATTAATAGGTAGATTTTCTAAAATTGTTGATTGCTTTCTCAAACTTTATATTTGTTTGTTTATTACTATTCCTATAATAATGTAAGAGTAAAATATAACCATGGTCTATAAAAGATATTATAGGGACCATCTGTGTACATTTTCAACAGTCTTCCATGATACTATCGATAATGTCACTACTACGGCCCATCACTACACACGAGGTAATGAATGGTCTGGCGGCGCGTCGACGAAACTCGCGCGCTGCGCGCCGCTAAGCGGCGTTACCCCTCCTCCGCTTCCTCATACTTCACCACCCAAATAGTTAAAAATTCACTGCATACAGCGCCTTAATAGTTACAAATGCAAAAAAAAATAATTACATTAAATTTTGAAACACAATGTGAAACTTCTGTAAACATATAGAACACATTTCATATATGCCTCATGTATTGCTTAAAAAAAATGATGGTAAGTTAAGGGGTACATTCTCGAACTTAAAAACTCTCCACAACAATTATGAGTATTCCATATGAATAGTTGTTCCATGTGCGAATATATTTCACAACAGTAAAGGAGCAATGTTCTCGACACAGTGATTGTTGGGGACTGACTACCCAACCCCTTCCACACAAAATACAAATACAAATACCTTGTCACTGTGCAGTGCGTCATTCAGCTTTGATATAAGAGCGTCTATGGCATGCTCTTGGCCTGGTGTGAGACGTTGGGCAACCCAAGAGACCTCCGTCTCAGTCTCAGCCCGCGGTGAGAGGCTGTCCACACTCGTGTCGGACACATTGTGTAGGGTGTCTCCAAACACCTGTAAGTATTTATCTATACACTTTATACAACACAACAAAAGAAGCAAAAGTATCAGAGCTGTATTGTAAACAGAAAAATAAGATTGTTTTTTTATTTATTTATACATGACTTGTTGTGAATATAAATCTGCGACTTCCACGTTACACGCTCAGACGCTGTAGCCACTAAGCATTGCGGTCGGTTTTAGTTTTTGTTACGTATACAGCGTGTCGTTAACATCGCGACAATAAATGAACACACGTATAGGGGATAACTTTTTAAATTTGTATTAAACATTTAAATTCTTTAAACATCAATATTTACAGAGTTATTAAATTTTCCAAAACAAAGAATTTTAGAACACCCTTACCTATAAAAGCTTAACGTAAAGTTCATTTGTAAAGGTCACAAAGCATATGAATGGGTTGAATGAATTTAAAAGAGACTAAACATACTGTTAGAAGGAGAGGCTTGTAATACGACGCTGTGGCGCGAGTTATATAGGATGTTACAAATTTTGTTTCTTTTTTACTTAATTAGTTTGTTTGAAAAATTTTTTTTTTTAAATTATGGATTTTGTTAATGTTAATATTTTTTTATGATTATTGGCAAGTAGCTTTAGACGTTTGTTCATTTATTGTCGCGATGGTACCGACACGCTGTATATCAAAGATTTAACCACGTTTTAGTTTGACCCCCCGAATGTGAATACTGTAAAGTTTTCAAAACATTCGTGATTGTTTTGTAAGAAGGTGGCAAGCCATCTTGCGGATCACCTGATGGTAAGTGACAACCGCCACCAATGGACATTTGCAACACTCGTAGGGTTGTAGAGGCGTTGCCACCTTACAATAAAGCAGGCCCCGGCTACCTCACTCACCAGACGAAACGCAGAAGTATAACACTTCCACTTCACGCCGGTCTTCTGTGATGCATGACAAAAACTTGATAAAATTCATAAGTCGGTTTAAATTTTCATTAATTCATAATCGCTGTTATCATTTATCATAATACATAATCGCTATTATTAACGTTGTTAATGTCCAGTATCGATGTCGGTACCTGGTTCATTTGATCGGACGGAAAGTAATGATGCTTGACTAGTTGCAACACTTGTTTTCTTCTTACACCGTTATTACTTGTTAAGCAGCCGCAGAGCAATTTGCGAACCTGAAATGTATAAAAAATGGTATCATATTAAAACAATGTGTCGCAGTTTCCAAGATACTGGCTTTGGCTACGGGAGACATACGTTCGATTCCCACACAGAAGAAACAAATAGTGATTTGTACGACCCACAAATAGTTGTGTGGGATATTTTGTCCAAGTGAAATTTATGCATGTAAACATCCTTGCAACACAGGAAAATGTTACATGACGCATGCCCATACTGCGTGGCATTTAAAAATTGTTACGCTTTACGTTACATGACATATGATATGGAACATATGTCACGGAAAGAGATCAGTCAGAGAGCGTTCTATAGAATTACACCAATTGGTGTAATCTGAGCGCCTCAATTTCGGCGCGCTAGTCTAAAATATCGTTGGTGGTCTTACAGTAATAGGGCAATGTTCTCTTAGGGAAGACTACAATAGATATTTCTAGTTACAGTGGTCGTTAGGACTTACTTGGACCCAAGCCCTTCGGCACAATATACAATCGCTTACTTGGTGGTGTGCCAGTAGCCTGTTCAACGCAGCCTCCCACTCTCTGGACAGCGGAGCCAGGGTCAATGCGGTGCGGCAGCTCACAATCACCGCTTGCTGGGACGCCTCGACACCCACTGGACCATTCTGTAACAATCATCTGCTTTACAGGGCGCGCAAAACTCACGTTATTTTCGACGACCCGATTGGCCTAGTGGTAGAGCAGTGAAACTGCCTCTTGCGCCAGAGAGTGTGGGTTCGATCCCCACTGCTGGAATAGCGAAAGTATGCGAAAGTGCACCATTTACGTCGTCATAATTTGATAAATTTCAGTCAACCTTAAAGATGAGCAATGTATCGTCAGCAAACAGTACAATATCACAAAACTCACTGGCATAAGAGAGGAGATCATTTATATATACTAGAAATAATCATGGGCCCACGATTGATCCTTGGGGGACACCCATTTTCATGAGGGGACCCTGCGGAATCTCATTCACGCCGTCAATTTAATAATTGGGTTAGACGTCACTACTAATACTTCAGCACTACTGCGAACTTTAGTTCTAACCTATTGGTGTTTGGACAAATAGTTTTCACAAATGTATATGTCTATAGGTAGAATATATGTCAATGACACATAAATAATATAAACTAAACCTAATATCGAACGTACCTGTGACGTGTACTGAAGTACGCTATATAGGGTGTCCTCAAACGAGTCTGGTGTCACCTCTTGCATAACACACTCCTGAGTCTCGCTCGATTCGCATAACGCTCCCAACACTTGTAACTGCAAATATAAATAATTTGTTATTATCCAAAGGTTTTATCACTAAAATTTTATATCATTTATTTGTAATTCAAGTGGAATCAAATGACCTTTGTTATGGCTTGATATTATATATAAATGCGATGTAGATATAACAGTAACGCCGAAACTGAGGCATTCAAATTACGGCAATAATGTATTAACAGTAACTTCACTTCTGTTCGGTCCGATTATATCTATGGCTAGCGTACATCAAATACAACTGTATAGACTGCTATCTCTTTCCGTATCATACGATCTATATCATCTGTCACATTCACATTGTACGTTATGTAATAATTTAAAAAGGGACAACTTTTAAACGCCGCGCTGTATGGCCATGCGTCTTCTATATTAGAACATCGTAAGTAGAATCGAATAAAGTAAAATCAAGTATAGTTATGCATAATTTGGTATACATAAATTTAATACAATTTATACATACCAGGACAACAACAATGCAACATGAGTCCAGAACAGATTCTCAGTTGAAAATTTGGACGACTAACCCCCACATAAATTGGAATGGCTAAGTAGAGTAAGGAAGAAGAATAAGACATACATGAATCTTGTTCTCCTGTTGTGTATATTTCCTAATATGTTATATGGTATAGTGTTGGTGCATTGATGATTAAGTAGTTCCTTACAACTCACCCACTGCAATCCCGACTTCCCCGGCTCTAAAGCAGGCGGCACTAACAAACCGGGCAAGCCATCATTGACCACCGATATCAGCTCTTGTGGCAAACGACCCTCCTCTGAAACAATTTAAAAGTGCATTACAATAAGGTTGTAAATTTTTGCTCAGAACGAATTTTTTTAATTACTAAAATACTTAGCAGTAGTTCAGACACTATCCGAACGCAATAGCTTATAGAAAGCATTCATTCTTTGCTCTCAATCTTCATTCACTCTTCTCTTGGAGGCACTGATTGTATAATCATGTATATGGATGGGTAAATTGACGATGGTAGGTTATTCCACTTTTTCACTGTACGCATTGCAAAAGATAAGGCGAACCCACTGCATAGGAATGCAGGGTCAACAATAACTCGCACCACAATGGCTCGGTGGCGCAGTTGCTAAACTATCGGCTTCGACGCCCGAGTTCATGGGTTCGATTCCCACACGGATAATTGTTATGAATCTGTGTTTATTCCCAAATGGGGTGACGTCAGGCATGTGGCCAGTCGTAAAAATCCTAGAACCATTAAAAACATGATTTACGTTGTGCCGAATCTCAAAAGATGAACAAGGATTAATGTAGCGTAACATACCTCTGTATTGTGATATAATTGCAGCAAACAGTTCAAGCGACTCGGGCAAACATATCCGGCTGGCTTTAATGCATAGACATATCATCTGACAATGGTGGCATCTCAGTGTATACAGGTCTGAAAGTAAAGAATTTAGAATAAATTAGTTATAAAACGTAATTTTTCTGCGGATATTTGTTTTGCGTCTGTTAAAATTTTTTTACGAAAACAAAATACTAAATATCCATCTATAATTTTATTTCGAAATATGCCCGAATAAAATAACAGTGAAATTTTATGAATTTTATATTTTATTATAAGTAGAATCTGTGCAAACTAAGGAGATTTATAGATAAATCAGCAAAGGTCGGCGCTATGGTTGAATCCTGCCCCCGGGTAACAACTAACAATCATTTTAAATTGATTTTGAAAAACACATTACCTAAATTGACCAAAACGGTGAGAAACCTTAGAGTATTTTGAAGGCAACTGCCGGTATTCTCCGGTTCACCCGTATCGTCGGCAGTGGAGATGCATAAGTCCTCAGTGTCCTGGAAAAATCATTTTGGATATAAGAAGACCCGAATAGCATCTTGCACCCGAATATGTGAGTTCGATCCCAGAGAAATATTGTATGATGAATAAATTGTTTTTCCAGTCTACGTTTTCACATATAGTCCTAATCAAGGATCAAGATTATAAGATCCAAACGTCTGTGAACAATCGTCGGGATAACAAATCCCCTTTATCCTTTAAACGAGAAATTCTTGTATATATATATAATCGGAATCTCGGAAACGGCTCCAGCGATTTTCATGAAATTTAGTATGTGCGTAGATTTGGGGGCGAAAAATCGATCTGACTAGGTTTCATTTTTAGAAAATGTCGTTTTATCCCAGTTTTCAGGAAATGAAAAATATCATTCGAATACGACGGTAAATTTCACCGAAAAAAAAATTTTATAATAGCTCGGTCGGTAATCGGGCGGCCGCGCTAACAAACAGCCACGAAACAGGAGGCCGTGGATCGTACCACGATTTTTTACACACCTACTTTTTTTACTTTTTTTGATTCCAGATCATTGCTTTCTTTATTTTTTATTTTTTGTCGATCCAGATGATTTTGTTATATTTTCCCTTTTTTTTTTAAACTTCTTTCTTTTGTGAAAAACACCAGTTCATATTTTGTTATTATTACGTCGGTAAGATCGTAAAATATTATGCATATTTCATTACTCAGTAATTTGTATCTAGATGTAATTTTCAAAATACACGATTTACCAAAAAAAAAAAAAAAACAAACCGAGCAAAGCTCGGTCCTCCAGGTACTGTAAACATTAAAATAGTATACTTTGTCGTACAGTCGTTTTATACAGTACTGTAGCAAAACAAACCGAGTATAGCTCACCTTCAAAGTGTCGTTCAGCGCAGAGTTAAAGTTGGGATATGTCAAAACGTAGCCCCGCAAATTGTTGTCCGCGCACAAGTCATTGATGAAGGTGTACGCGTGGAGCAACTGCGTGGCGTCTCTATCGCTGCGGACAAAGGAGAACGGCCCTTATTACAACCGCAAATGGTTCGCAACGTTTTCACTGTTATGGCCACAATGGGGAAGTACCGGCCGAACAAGACCTACGTGATAAGTAGTGAGTGTTATACTGAGTGTGGTTAACAGTATCCCATTTTTTTAAATGGTGGATGGCGCATCCGCAAACCCCACGGGTGTTGCAGATGGCCTTGGCCAGAGGTTGTTTGCTGTCCTTTTGCTTATCACTTGCCACTTTAAACGTAAGAAATGACAAAGACAAGAAGACATCTGGAAATGCACCTCAACTTAGCATCCCGTGGAACAGCGGTAAATAATCGACAGTTCCTTACTTATATACCTACTAGCAGACAGAAAAGACGTTGTCCTGTACACGCGACTTAAATCCGAGAACTTATAAGTTACAAAAACAATAGTGAATCTAAATCATTTTTGAGAAGACCTGAAAACACAAAAACATTTATAACATAACACACAACAATTATACATTTATACTACATGCATACTTATCAGAAAAATATTAACAAATCAAATAAAGACACAAATTATATTTAATAAGAAAACACATAAATACACACGACATAAACATAACTTAGAACTACCTAAAATCAGGACTTTGTATGGAAAAAGAAATATACAGTTTGAAGGAGCTCAGCTATATAATAAGTTACCACCCGATGTCAAAAATTGTTCCTCTTTAACAAGTTTCAAAAAAAAATTAAAAATGTTTTTAATGAAAAGTTAAGCAATAAGTCCCATTATCCACACTTTTTAAATTGTTATTTAACATGTACTATGTAAAATTTTCTCAAAGTTAAGTGAATATTGTAATATTCTTTTTTGAGAAATAAATATTTCTTTGAACCTAAATACAAAGACCCAAGCAATGACTCACACAATCGTTTTCTTATATGTCCTCATCGTACAACAAAGTCGAACAAATCCCAAGACCCAAACACTGACTCATCTAATGTCTTTCTTAAATGTCCCCATTGTATAGCAAAGGCGAAAAAATCCGAAGACCCAAACACTGACTTACATAATGGCTTTCTTAAATGTCCTCATTGTACAGCAAAGGTAGCTGTGTACATCTGTGGGCCTCGTGGCGGCTGCCCCGCGGGTAGCCCCAGACAGGCACAGGAGAAGTCTGCACACCTCTACGCCTCCATACCCACCATCCTGGAGGCGAGAATATCATCAGATAGTTTTTTTTTGTGTGAGAAGGTGGCAAACGAGCTGGCGATTATCCCGACATTCTGTGAGGTTGTGGTACTTACCCAGACGAGCCTGCCCATTCATACAACAGCCGAGGCTGCTGCGTGGCCTTATCACAGTAAAAAATAATCTTATCCCCTAGAATCTACCAAAAGAGATATATTTTTCCCGTTAAGATTAACTAAGAAATAAATTAAATATTGTATACCTTCAAATTGATTAGATGTACAACAAACTCCTTAGTGTCCACAGTACGCATGAGTGCATAAATTGCTGGTAGATTTCCATAGCACACATTGACAAGAACAGTTAAAGACTTATGCCCAATGGTACGGTGTTGGGGCTCCATCATGGGCTGGACTATCCAATCAGTCAATTGTTTCATGAGTTCGGTAAGATAGGACTCTTGCCAACTTATTTTGATACCATAAGAGATGTCCTGCAATAATAATATGACATATAAATGTGAACTGGGACTTTTATATACGAAATAATATGACGAATATTTTTCATTAACAAGGTAGGCAGACTCAATCACCAAGCCATACAATCAACTTATACTAAGTAGGTGTTACATAATTCTAATAAACTAATAACTAGAAAAAAAAGAAATAAATACACTGTCTAAATATATTACACTCAACAATAACATTAAAATGCTAACATTTATGATCATCTCACCTGCATAACAGATAAAAGCTTTATTTTTTTATCATTTGATATAACATTAGACAGTAGACGTGCTAAGATTGGCATGAATCTGAAAATTAATTTAAATATTAATTAATTTTCAAGTGTTGTCTAATTCACATTCTTTTGAGCAAATAAATCTTTACACAATTTATATGAATAGGAAAATGATAAACCAGTTCACTGATGGTAACAACTACCACTTGTGAAAATTTGTAAGAGTACAGTAGTCGTAAACAAATAAATACAGCCTGGTAACAGACAGACAAACTGACAGCGGAATCTTTTTAGCCATCGGTTAGAGAACCCTAAAAATAGCCAGCTTTAGCCATGTTCCATTGACAGAAGTCAATTGTGTCAATTTGAACAGACCAATCCTATAATACAAATGATCTTCAGAGAGGCTAGTATTTCCTGAACGGTTGGCAACAGTTTGTTAAGTAACTTTTCCAAAGTATATTGGAATAAGCATTCCTTTATTAAGGGTTAAAAATAGATCAATTCTGACTTGTATGTGTGAGTGAGAGCGTATCTGGCACTAGGCTCAATAGCAGCACGCGCCAGGACAGCCACTCCAGCCCAATGTGGACCCCTTGAGTCGCTCATCACTCGCCATAAAGAGCTGAAGAATGCGCACACTTCCGACCGACCAGGAGAAAATATTGAAAGGTCACATGATGAAGCGATCAACTGAAACAGAATCATAATAACAAAATTTACTTCTTACATACAAGTAAGTCTGAATCCCGTAAAAACATGTTAAGTAATGGACATTTAAACCATACGAATTCGAAACAAATTGCTTACTCCTAGGTAACGAGTCATTAAATTTATGGCAGATTCACTGTGCGTTGCCTCAAATTCACGAGCCGCAGTCACAAAGGCTTTCAAGTTGGCGAACTTAGCTATTTCTGGTGCATTGCTATTCCAACTTTCGCACCCGTCCACTTCCATGACACAAAAGTTGTATAATGAAAGAATTATTTCAAATTACGATGTCAATCAACAACTAAAATATAGAAATAACATCCAAATAACTAAAACATTTACAAAAGGATTAAAAACGTAAAAGCTAACACGATCGCACAAAATTTTAATTTCAACTGTTTCTTTGATAGTTGTTTTGTGATTGGTCCAACATGCTAATATCTGTCACAGGAAACTTATCTGTAAATTCATTGGTCAATCACTTATGTTTACAAAATTCTGATCGTTCATTGGCTACTAAAAACACAAATTATTTCTTTTTTTTAAGTAGGTAATATTACGTTTAGAGCCACACGAAGTGAAATATTACTTTTACGTCAATTACTTGCCATTCAGAAATAAAATGCAAAACCGAACAAAAAAATTAAGTGTTTGAAAGTTACTCGTTGACATAAATAAACTTAATTCCTTAATGTTTAGGTTTATTAGATAATATGTAATTTTAGATAGATTTAATCTTATTAAAATATATTTGTGATAGTATTTAAAAAAAAGGGTGCGTGTATTTATGTACGCGCGTGAGAATTTATATTTCTTTGGCATTATTAAACAATAGTTTTTAATTGCATGCAAATGATTAATTAGAATAACATTATAAAAAGACTGGAAAAGGATATAAATAATAAAAATAATAAAATTATGAAAGCGCCATCTACATCGTGATAGCTACAATCTATAAAAAAATTAGCTATTTAGCGCTTAGTTTTGTGTTACAGTGATGCGCGCGCATCATAAAATTTCACTCATTATCTCTCACTGCATCATTTTTTCATAACGCGCCTAAAGAAGTATAACTTCAAAAAGCTGAAACAAAAAACATTAAAAAAGTTTTTAGATAAAAGCATTTGTTGAAGCCCTATTTGGTTTTTTGCAAATTAAACCAGACTAGACAAATGGAAGCAATTATTGTTAATATAGACATAATACCATTAGTATAATCTCTTTTAAATCAGCCTTCGATAAGCCCCTGTTAGACAAACACTTGTTTTAAGGAACGGTATTGAGCTAATGCTCGCTGAATTAGATTTCTTATTTTATTGAGTAATATATAGTAGCCGTGAAAGCTTGCTTTTAATTCAATGTTTTGTTTTATTTATTTAATCCAGTAATAAAGTACAATAACATAAATTATTATCTGCCAAACTGTGATGCAGTTTGTCGGCAGATATGTGAAGGCAAAAATATTTATAAGATATGTGAAGTCTATCAATCCGTAGAGAGGTTGTGTGGTGGACTGTACCCTAAAATCTTCTGTACAGCGAAGGCGTGTCCCTGTACATGTCAAAATACGCTGTTCAATCCATCGATGTAGTTAAACTATTATTTGATTTCAATCTTCTTATTTTCTCCGTTCTTTATAGATTATATTTTTACACTGTAGGTTCAAATTTCATTTCAAATCCTCAATGTGTCATTAACAGAAGGTATGGATATGCATGCGGTTATGTAAAGTAAGCTTTAAATGACTAGCAAACTGATAGTAGTAATGTTTTATTTAATTTATACTTCTATATGTGCGTTTGGAACAAATTAAGAGTAAATTAAAAATTAGAAGTAGGTACAGTTTTAGGATGCGTGGGTACATCAACAGCTATAAAGCGACATGATGAAGTTGGTTGTATAACGACCGCTGCACAATCAACAATGGTTTCAATAAATAATTATAAATTATAAAACTACAAATTATTTATTGACACCGTTATGAATTACGTACTTAATGTCTTTTTCACCGACAAAGTGTACTTTTTACCAAAATTATTAATTTTAGTAAAAAGTCCAATACTGCATCTGTGAGAATACCTATTCATAGGCAACAGTTTCTTTCCGTTCATTTTTATCTTTTACGGCTTTAGATCTGACAGATTTAAAGCTATATTGAGCTGAATTAAATTTAAATAAAAATATTGTTTTTTCGATTGATTCGATTCAAAATATATCGGGTAAAATATCGATATATTTAATAAAAAATATCGTCATATCGATATTTTTCGTCATCTCTATTCTCTCCCTCCCTTCCCTATCAAGTTATCAACTGCTCATCCTAAATTACACCATTATTTATTTATTATTAGTTTTCCTCAAATATTTATCAAATCTTTAGGAAAATTAGAGTAGATAGAGAATTAAATTCAGAGTTTATATGGCGCTGCCAAGAGCCCAGCCTGCAGAAGTGCTTCGAGCGTGGCAAAAAGATGATTTTTATGAAAAACAACTAGCGGGTTCCTTAGCGAAAATAATGCCTTCACAACATGCATCAAAAGCTGTTTCAATGTCTTCTCTCATTTACAAATACTTCACTACTCTCAAAGATCTTCAAACTCTGGGTGAAGAATACTCTGGAATTGTACAAGTTGATGAAAGTTATCATAAATTGCCATCTTTCAGCAATCGACTGCATAGTATCTTGTTATCCACGTTCGGTGAAGATATTACTAGACGTTTACTTCGTCAAATTGATAAGAAGATTGTATTAAATGCGACATTAAGGCCTGAAGCACAGAATGTCTTTCTGGTGATTATAAAAACTTTAGGAAATGTGGTACCACAGATAGAAAGTATACACAGAGCGTTGTCATATATTAATGGTGGGCCATTGCAAATCGGGAAAGTTGTAGCCGGTATTGACTATGTACATGTGAGACCAGCAGCAGCAGCTTACTATGCTCATCTAAGATTATTAGGCTTTGTTACATTATTACATGCATTAATTTCATGCGGGCAATGTCTGTATCAGGCGAAAAGAAACATGGAACAATTGTCTAGCTTTCCTAATGAAGTTGACAGTAATAGAACATGTGTTTCATGTCTAGAGGAGATATCCCAACCTTGTGTCCTCCATTGTGGACATATGTTTTGCATGGAGTGCTGTTATGGGCCCTTAGAAAATTGTCCATTGTGTAGAACACCATTTACAAAAATCACTGTTGTGCCATTAATGAACTACTGTCCTGGAGATTTTTGATGTTTTGAGAACATTATTTGTAATTAATTGAACATACATTGAGAAAAAAGTATTAATGGGGTCCTCTTATAGTGCTTAAAATACAATTACGATTACACTGACATATAATTAACAGTGGGGGAAAAGAAACTTAATTTTACCTTATTTCTATAATTTGATATTTAATATAAGTGTTGGATGGCTGTGAAGTAATAAAACTTATTTTATAGAAAAACTTTTATTTTAATCATTGTTTTATTAAATAATTAAATATAGTATACTTAAGTATTTTAAAGGAACACAAAATGCAATATCAATTAATGCAAATATGCAATATCTTTAAATTAATGTCTATACAAATTAATCCCTCAGAGATTCACTTAGCTGTTACATTTAATATAAATGCAATATGAGAAACATCTGAATTTATGAAGAATTATAAAATAACTATTCCAAACTAAGTTTTCATGTAACAAAAATAAAATAAGCTATTTATATAGTCTGAATTCTTTTAACACATTGTTATGGGCAATAAACAAAACAAAAGTAAGTCACAAACCAATATAACATTAACATAAAATGCTTTAAATAATTTTAAATAATTAATGTGTACAAAAATTAACAAACTATAAACTTAAGATGCTTTATATAATATACTATTCAACACGTAACAGCTCAACATCAAAAATCAATGTTGCATTGGGTGGGATTACTCCTGGATGACCTCTAGAGCCATATGCAAAGTCTGGAGAACATGTTAGTCTGGCTCTTTCACCAACAGACATCTATAAACAATAAAATTAATAATGAATATTCAGTGGATATCCCAATGAATGCATTTAATATACACAATGATTACATCGCTTAAAATGTGTGGGTGCAAGCTAACTAGTTTTTTACAAGCTGGGTGACATGCAATTTCTTTACATCAAACTGAATGGTTCTTATGGTGCACTGTTAAACATTAAAATAAACCCTTGAAGAAATGCCTTGAGCAAACTGAATCGAGGAAGAAATATTATTGGCAAATTTTTTTGTTATACAGCGTGTCGTTACCATCGCAACAATAAATGAACACACATCTAATGCTACTTGCCAATAATCATAAAAAATATTAATATTAAAAAAATCCATAATTAAAAAAATTTTTTTTTGCAAACAAACTAATTAAGTAAAAAAGAAATAAAATTTGTAACATCCTATGCAACTACAACTGTCTGATTCATACATTCAGAGACTTATTCATTCGTTGCCACGGCATCGCATTACAAGCCTCCCCTTCTAACAGTATGATTTGTTTCTTTTAAATTCATTCAACCCATTCATATGCTTTATGACCAATGACAATGAACTTTATGTTACAGTTTTATATGTAAGGGTGTTCTAAAATTCTTTGTTTTGGATAATTTAATAACTCTGTAAATATTGATGTTTAAAGAATGTAAATTTTTGATACAATTTTAAAAAGTTATCCTCTATGTGTGTGTTCATTTATTGTCGCGTTGGTAATGACACGCTGTATAGTAAAATAAATAATAAAATTACCATCTTCAATCACTCTTTTATTATAAAAATATGGCAAAGAAGAAACTGTACATGTAATGGTGATGATAGTTGCTGCACACAGACAGCCATAACACCAGAGATGTTGTACCTCATTGAGGCACAATCTTAAAAATCTCTCTAGCTTGTAACTCACTGGTCGAAATGCAGAGTATGCTTAATGATCAAGCCAGCATAACCGCAGCAGAGGCTGCTGCATGCTTAATTTACGAACATTTTGGGTTAATACAAAACTTGTAATTATGTGCTTACTTTTGCAAGGCCTTGGTCCCAACCTTTGATAACATCCCCTTTGCCAAGAGTAAACTTAAAAGGTTGACCGCGGTCTCGCGATGAATCGAACTTCTTTCCGTTTTGTAGTGTCCCAGTGTAGTGAACTACTACAGTTTGGCCCGGCTTCGGGTAGCTCGTTCCTAAAAATGTGATGTTTAGATGTTAAATACCTGTCAAACAAACAAAACAAATTGTTGAAAAAACGTAAGATACATATCTTAGGTACAACGTGATAATATTGAGGTATAGAGGTGTTACAAATCATTAATATTGAACTATCATCATCATCATCATCATTTCAGCCTGTTTGAGTCCACTGCTGAACATAGGCCTCCCCCACAGACTGCCATGAAGTACGATCCTGAGCCACCTGCATCCATCGACTTCCCGCACATTTGCACAGGTCGTCACTCCATCTAGTGGGGGGTCGTCCCACATTGAACTATATATTATGTTAATTTATAAATAACTTGCAAATTATTAATGTTACTTTAATTTAGTATGTAAATAAAGTTAACAAAAATTTAATTATAATCAAATTCTCAATAATTAAATGTAACATAATATAATATCGAGTTTACATAAAAAATCATTTCATGTCATAAAAATTATTATCATTTAACCACAGTACCTGGAGGACCTTTTGGAAGGTTTTTTTTGTAAATTATGTATTTTGGAAATAAAAAAATAAAGAAAATGATCTGATATGGAAAAAAAAGTAAAAAAAATAAGTGTGTAAATGATCGTGATACGAACCGCGGCCGTCTGTTTTGGAGCCACCGATTACTGACCGAGCTATTATAACATTTTTTTTTGCGCCGAAATTTACTGTCATATTCGAATGATATTTTTTATTCCCTGAAAACAGGGATAAAAGGAAATTTTCTGAAAATGAAACCTAGCTAGATCGATTTTTCGCCCCCGAATCTACGCACATACAAAATTTCATGAAAATCGCTCGAGCCGTTTCCGAGATTCCGATTATATATATATATTGCTTGTTTAAAGGATAAGATAATTAAGTGACTTCTTTAAATTGTCGATCAGCATTTTCATGTCAATCAAACTATTACTAAATTCTGTTGATCTAGGCCTGTCTTTTAGGATAAGTCTCTGCGGGTTTCTTTTTGACTCATTACTAACTTCGTTTTAAACCATTCTTTATGATTTGTTACAAATTTACATGTTTTTTTAATTAGTTATTTTTTGATTCGATTCAGGGTTAAGGAAACTGATTTATCTTACTAAATAGGGCGTTTATTATTTTCCAATGAAGGTCTTGATAAATAACATACCTAGAAATTTGATTAATCAATAAAAGAAATTTGATTGAAATTAATAAATAATTAACGTTTTATTAAAATTTCTCATTCATTTAAGTACTGTGAATTTGGTATAAAAATTACTATTACTTATTTTTTAATCAGACTCAACAAAATACATTACTTTTAAAACTGAAAATTTGACCGATATATCGATATATAGATTTTTTTTTCAACTTTCGGCATCCATAGTCAGAATTCTAGATCACAGAAGACTCAAGACAGTAGCAGTACAACAGAATACATCATAGATAATATATAATACATATTTTTATTGTAAACCCAAACGTTTTTTGCCATATAAATTATTTCTAGGTAATTTGTTAATCTTTGTTAAAATTAATTTTCGATACGCACGCATAAAATCTTTAATAGGTAGGAACAGTTTGTATGGAAATGTTAGTCCCTGGACCTGATATTATACAGCGTGTCGTTACCACCGCAACAATAAATGAACTCACGTCTAACCCTACTAGCCAATAATCATAAAAAAATATTAACGTTAAACAAAATTCATATTTAAAAAAATATATTTTTCAAACAAACTAATTAAGTAAAAAAGAAGCAAAATTTGTAACACCTATACAACTCGCGCCACAGCGTCGCATAAAAGCCTCTCCTTCTAACAGTATGTTTTGTCTCTTTTAAATTCATTCAACCCATTCATATGCTTTGTGACCTTTACAAATGAATTTTACGTTACAGTTTTATACGTAAGGGTGTTCTAAACTTGTTTGTTTTGGAAAATGTAATAACTCGGTAAATATTGATGTTTAAAGAATGTAAATGTTTAATACAACTATAAAAAGTTATCATCTATATGTGTGTTCATTTATTGTCGCGGTGGTAACGACACGCTGTATAGGTGACTTTTAATAATTGAGAATTTACATTTAAATTTTGTTCACTTTATTTACATATTAAATTAAAGTTACAACGTAAGTTCTTTAGTTAATGCAATTTTAATATTTTGCATGCTATTTTTAAATTAGCTTAACATGTAATTCAACATTAAAGATATGTGATACCTCTATACCATTTTGTACCTTAGACATGGATAGTATAAATACTATAATTATAGTAAAAAATATAACACTGCAAATGCGGCAATACTAGTTAAAGAAAACAGTTTTTTTCCCGTTCATTTTTATCTTTTAAGGCTTTGAATCGGTTAATATTCAGCTGAAATAAATTTGAATTAAATTATCGTTTTTAATAGGATTTCGATATTCAATTTCTTATATCGACATATCGATATTTTTTAAATTAAGTATCGATATGTCGATATAAACATTTTTTCACTTAATTTATTTCTTTGCTCAGCTCAGTTGCAGTTGCAGTAGGGATGGGTCGTATCGCTTTTTCTGAGTACCGTATCTGAATCCGATATCGATTTCAAATATCAGATTTCGAAACTATGTATTTTAATATCTAGATATTTTACGGTTCCCTATCCACGTTGATTAATTGAATTCCAAAAAAAAACAAAAAAAATAATTGTATACTATAAGAGAGTGGATATAAGATGAATGAAATAACTTCCCTTCATACTTTTTCCAGGCTTAGGACTGGCTGCAATATTTCATACTTATTATAAATATTAAATTGTGCAGGCGTATTTAAAAGTTGATTCATTCTATGTACATAATTTTCCTTATATTTAAAACTTAACATTATATATTTACAATTATGTCAGGGTTAATAATTATTTATATCCCTCCGGGTTCAAATTCACGTTTAGGAACGTAAGCTCTCTGACTTTATTCGTCGAAAGTCTTGTTCGACGATCATTAATAATTAACCCTGTCTTACTAAAAATGCGTTTTTTTTTAAATTATTAAATTAAAAATTTCATTAAAAATATAAATTGAAATAATATAAAAAAATGATTTATTTTAACATCTTATATACCGCTCTTAATAATTGACTTTAACATATTTTTAGAACACGCAATCGAGTGGCAATATTTTTATTATTTGTGTAAGAAATAATACATTCAGTATTATAGCTTAGGGCGGAAGAATTTAAAATATACACACAAGGCACATAAGCCTTGGTCTGATTTCCACCAAAGCAGCACAGCACTATTAAATTATATTTTTCTTTTTGTGTAGTTTTATTTTTTTCCAAAAATATGAATAAAATTTAGCTAATAAAAATATTCACAAAAAATTTACTTCTTAAAAAATTTCCATTGTATATTTTTCTTCCTTAATTTAGGCAGAAAATTCTTAAGTAGTAAGTTGGCATCCCTTACTATTACGTGTTAAGTACCAATGCAATCCAGCTCAAGGCTGAACAAAATTTCAAAGACATCGTTAATACCGTAATTCGTATTTAAATGCAACAGAGTTTTTTTCCATGCTGTTAAGATTCAAAATTACTTAACTGCGCGCTTTGTCGCCCGTTACGGCTCAAGGCTAAACAAAACAATAAAAATATAATAATATCGTTGTAGTAATCGCTGATACCAAGATTAGTATTTAAATGAAACGGATCTTATTTGCATGGTGTTAAGATTCAAAATTACTTAACTTATTCATAATATCTGTTTAAAAATCTGATATCGTGCATTGCTTGCCGTCCCACTCTAACTAGTAAGTGTTTATATCTCACGCGCTTTGTCGCTCGATATCTGATATCGTGCATTGCTTGCCGTCCCACTCTAACTAGTAAGTATTTATATCTCACGCGCTTTGTCGCTCGATATCTGATATCGTGCATTGCTTGCCGTCCCACTCTAACTAGTAAGTATTTATATCTCACGCGCTTTGTCGCTCGATATCTGATATCGTGCATTGCTTGCCGTCCCACTCTAACTCACGCGCTTTGTCGCTCGATATCTGATATCGTGCATTGCTTGCCGTCCCGCTCTAACTAGTGAGTATTTGTATCTCACGCGCTTTGTCTCTCGAAATCTGTTTAAAAATCAGATATTGTGGCAAACGCGTATGACATCGCCGTATCGCGATTCGTGTCGGTATAGCGAGCGAGCACGGTACATCAGATTTCGGAAATATCAGATATTGTAAAATACATAGATATTGAACGAGCCAGTAAGCGATATTGGGATATTGTACTAATATCTAGTTTTCATATCTGATACGATTTGTATCGCCCACTTCTAAGTTGCAGTATATATGTCTTATCTATGGTCAGCTTCTGCACTAAAATCTGAATTAGGAGATTAACGAGGTTGAACTTTTATATACTTTTTATAATTAAAAAACTACAAACACAATTTCAATCTTTACTTTTAAATATGGTATCCAGTGAGGAAGAATCTGATATGAAGTCGGCAGATACGCTTGAATGGGATGTTGAAATGGAAATACAACTATTTTACGCTATGGCAAATCATAAGCCGGTTGGGATAAACAAACACTTTCACATGGCTTGTATTTGGGAGAAATTATCAAATTCTGTAACGAAAGAGATATCTACACAGGATATCTGGAAACATTTGGATACGTTGTATGATATGTCGATGCTAGAGGATACTGAACCCATACCATTCCCTAATAATGAAGTTCCTTTTAGTTTACCCGAAAGTGATTTTGGACCATTGATTAAACAGAAATGTAAAGAGAATATATTGGCTGACGACAGTGATGGAGGTAATAGTTATAACAGTTATTGTGGTAGATGTGATAGATACATTGTATATTTTCAAAACAAGGGTATTTTGTTTTATGTCACAAATATACTGTATGTTCATTTTTTATACATAGAGTACATTAAAATGGCACAATTATTTACAAAATTCACTAATACCTTTTGCATGATTAACCAATTAGATGGCGGAAGCCCATCACCAAAAGCTTCAACACCCAGAAGTAATTCAAGAGGGACTTTATCAAAAGACGGCACTCCAAAAGGTAAATAATTCCTTTTATAGTATTAATGAAACATGACTTAAGATAAAAGTGAGTTACAGTTAGCAATTTCAGTCTTATTTTTTGTAGAATTTAAGACCCAATGGAAAATCAAAGTGACATGCATTAATTCACCAACTATGATATTGTATCTTCTTGTCATGTATTGTGAGGAGAAATAAAATTCATTATTATTATAGGGGATATTCATTTGTTTTCTCGTCTGGTTGGGTTTATAAATAAAAATAAAAATCTAGATATATATTGCATATATAAAATAAATATTATGGATAAAAATAAACATATACATATAAATATTGTATATAATACATATATAATTAGCATTAAATTCATTATTATTATTATCAGATGAAAAAGATGATGTTTGTGTTGTCTTTCCAAAGTTTTGCAATATATACCCATGTTATACTTTTTGCATTTCAGTATGCATTAATTTATTCTAATAATAAATATCATAACTTGTTTAGGTCGAAAAGACAGTATCAGTGCTCTGGCTACAAAAACCAGAAAGGAGAGTGGCAGTTCTCATGCTTCAACCGATACCCCTAGCATTAAGTCTGAAAAAGATTATGGTATGTATATATGCATACATTATTTTTTGTGTATACATCAATGACATGTTTGTGATAGAAGGGAATAGCTGGCCCAGGGCAATACCTTTTATGTATTGTTGGCACCATGCCCTAACATGGAACTTGCATAGTATTATATGCACCAACAATTACACTTTTAAGGTAGGTAAGGTACCAAAGTCTAAATTTGCATTTTGGTCATACAACATATAATGAAATGCAAAATTCCATATAATTCATCTTAAGTAAATGTGCTAACACTGGTCACAGATAGGTCGCAAGTTTTCTCGCTTTATTCATGTTCCTATTTTTTCTTATAACAGATCGGAGAAGGGACTCAAGGGACTCGAATGCATCCGGGCCCCGTGATAGTTCCACTAGTAGAAAATCACTATCCCAAAGAGATAAATCAACTAAATCTAAAGTTACCTCAGTTGCCTGTAAGTTTAAATATGTTTTAAAACCATACTTTTATGACTAATGGCTTGCTAGGCATTTTGCACTTTGCAAACTGCAACTAGAACTGTAATATATAATTTTTACACAGCTTGGGATTCTCCTTTAATAGACGAAGACAGTGGTTCTCGCCGCGGCCGTCGTCGCGCCAATACATCGACCCCACCCGCAACAACGCCAGCAAAAAGACGGAGGACATGACACAAACACACACATTCGTATCTGCATTTCTTCTGACACACACAGCCGCGCCCAGGGTGGGACCACAGGGCCAAGGGAAAAAGGGGGGAAACAAGATATCACCCAGTCAACCGTTTTTTCTCGTGAAGTGCTAGTGCTGGCTTATTGTGTCATGGATTATCTGTAACTTTAGCGATAAAGTGATGTGTTCTAGATGACAATGGGATTTATGTGACGAACATTATTATAATGTAAATATTTTAATTGTAGCTTAGGATGTATAAATGAAATGTTTATAGATCATTAATAACTGATATATTTCGTTATTTACTTACAATAACTTAAAAGTGCTAAGTGTGTTGCTTGAGAAGTTTCAATAAGTATAGAACCATTATTCACCCTTTGTTTATGTAATATGAAGGCTAGGTATTTGTCCAAAATTTACTGTTTAGGCTCAAGTGTGTACCCATTGGAGTATGCGCTCCTTGCCTCTGTAAATGGCAAGAATAACAGCAACAGCTACTTTTTGATAATGAAATATCCTGTATCTTAATAACTGACATTGCTCTGTTATCCTGTAATTTGATTTATGTAAAATGGATTAACAGGACTGTCATTATATGTAAATAATTTAGTTTGTAGCTTATATGGAGCGATAAATATTAAATGACACGTTAATAGATCCTTAATTGCTGATGTATTTCATTATTTACTAATCATAACTTGACTCTTTTTGCTTAGACGTTACAAAAAGTATAGATAAATTATTCACAATTTGACACCTTGTTTAGGCAGTATGGAAGGCGCGCGCTCCTTGCGCTCCTTGCTCCTTTCAGTATATATAAGGTTATAAGTTACTATATCTATGCCCCTTGCCGCTATAGATAACAATACAGGCGCGTGCACTCCATACAAAACATTTCCCAAATCATTGCCCATTCTATTTTTATTTAGCATTTAAGCAGGTATTATCCGAGCCTTGTTTAGTTTACAAAGAATTGTGAAGGAAACATTTAAAAACAGTCTTACGTCCAAATGTTTGCGCGTTTGATGCAACTTTTAAACGCGTCTGTATGGTGCAACACATCCGTTTTGAGAAGTCTAATAACTTTTGACTAAATTAAATGCTCATTCAGTGTTTGCCACTTCATTTCGGTTGTTTTTCATGTTAATGATTTAGTTATGTTAATCATTTAGTTAATTTACTTTAAAAAAATTGAAAAATATTGCTAGTCACGCTACTTGGGAAGTATTATTTTCCTCACTATGGAATTGTCAAATGCCAGTGCTTTGACCTAGGGTGCATTCATGTAGTTTTATATTTAGCTGGCAGTCCGATCATGCTGTTGGTGATGGTAAAATCAAATTTCGCACAATGATAGCAATAGTAATCCACTACTGTTGATATTGCCAACACCGTGTCTTCCAAACACCTAGGCCAAGCCTAGTCATGACCAACTCTTGCATTAATATCGTACCGTAATAAAATCTGCTTCCTGGGCTGGATCTTAGAAAGTGTTTTTGTCAGTATCTTGTAAAACTGCTTTTTGATATTGACACCTCTCTTCAGAGTCTGCGCATAGACGAGGATCAAGGATGATGTTATTTTCCAAGCGTATTTGCAAGGAAGTCACACGGTAGAAGGTGTGGATCTGATACTCCTTCAGTTTTTTTACAATGCAGTTTTTGAGCAAAGCCGACTCCAGATCATCTGGGTTCTGAAGACGGAGTTGGAGTGCTTTTCAAAAAGAAAGTATAGCCGCAGACGCGTTTCGCTAAGAGTTGCAATATCAACGACGGAGTTCACGAGCTACAGTGGCGATCTTGCGTTACTCAGGGCACTGATTGCCGGTCAAGGAGGGTGCGGACAATCTATACGCCAAACGTCATTTCATGGATCTTGATTTAATTTTTATTGTTTTTCGGTCACTTAGTAGGTTATTCAGAAGCGGCCGTGGTTACTACCTATCTCAAACATTTTTTGTGTCACCTTTTCTATCCACCTCTCCTGCTAAGCGGGGGAAGCAGGGCCCTCCTAAATATGGATACGTACTGTCTATCCAAAGTATTACAAAAATGACCACTTTCCTTGGGCCGCCCTTATACAGACATTATCCACAGCCTGTTTGGCACCACAAATAGTTCCTCTCCGACTCTGTCTATCGCCATAGGTTTTGAGTGAAGAGCAGAGCCATAGTTAAGAGAACAGTCCGATTGCGAAGGAAATATTAAAGTGCATGAATGTTCGCGTTAACACAAATGCACTCTCTCTCCTAGAGGGATTCTAGGCCTGACGGAACAGAAAACCGCTACGATCAGAGAGAGGTTTGGATGTAGACATCTATGGAGATGTCGTTTCTGGTCAATCAGTGTCAGAAAATAAGGTTACAAGAGAGGACAAGAAGGTTGGGAATACTGTCGACAATAGCTTGAGCAAGTCGGGATCAAAGACTACTACTGTATACTGGTCGGGATCGCGCACCCGTAAATCTATTTACTCTCACCGCACAAGCGAGAATATTGAAGACCTACGATTGTTTAATATTTAATAGTCAGTCTGCGTCCAATCGATCGCTAGTTACGTAATTAAAAATGAAACGTGTTACTTAATTGTTTCTGTGCATTGATTATTTTCTTAAATCTTTTATTAACCCGTTAACTTCTCCCGAAGAATTTTTGAAAGTCGTCAGGCTTACAGCATACACCACACAAAAGACGTTTATTGATTCGTAAGTATAACGTACGATGAATAGTCTGTAACTCTGTATAGAGAATTCCCCAAGGTGTTGCAAGTTTACCTTTAGAATAAAATAGTCAAATAATGTAAGAATCAGCTGTCAAATTGACAGCGTCTAAGCGGCAAAGGAATATAAATAAAAATATACATATAATAATATATTAATTATGTTATAATCAAATTTACTGTTGTTTTACTATTATTGATAAGAAAATTAATATGGCGAACCATTATGAAGTGCCTAGCTGGTAAGCTATACTCGATACAACCCCATGTCCCTAATGAGGGAAACATGCCGCCATTTACTTTTGATATCATAATAAATTTATTGAAACACATTTTAATACATACTACATCATATTTTTATTAGTACAGTCAATATAAAAAATACATTTATATTGGTATGGCGTTTAAAGACATAATGTAATTTGTATATGATTATTGAAATTATTACATGCAATTTCAATCAAAAAATCTAAAAGGCATTGTTTTTACCATAATATTATGTTCTTCCGTCCTATGTTTGTATACAAAGTAACTATCATTAATGTATCAAAGTTAAAATTTGTTCTGTGTTAAATAAATAAAATAATTATTATTAAAAATAATAATTCACTAATGAACTACAATTAAGATTTTAATGTTTTATTCAGGGCCGGCAAACCCCCAACAGGTTTGCATTTGGATGTTTTGAAAGGAGATAAATTGATACAAAAACTAATGATTGATGAAAAGAAATGTTATTTATTTGGTCGGAATCCACAAATGAATGACTTCTGTATTGACCATGCAAGTTGTTCAAGAGTCCATGCAGCATTTGTTTATCATAAAGATTTAAACAGAGCATTTCTTGTTGATTTAGGAAGCAGTGAGTATATTATATAGTTACTCTTTTATTGTACAGGCTTGAATTTACTATACATTTAGTATACATCAACCATTGAACAGTTTCATTTAAATGACTGGTATTGGAGAAGGAAATAACAAATCATTATTGTGAATATTTTAATGTCAATAACATTTAAATATGTTCATGTATAGTATAGTACATGTATGTATGTATATATTTATATATTTATATAGCATATCTTTTGTATATAGAAAAAAATTGTAGCACATTTACAAAGTACATTATATTATTAAATTAATAAAACATATAAATCTTACACTTTGTTATTCCTGCAGTTTTTGCTGATTATTGATTTATTGAATGGTCTGGTTATGGATTGTTGGATGGATTAAAATACTATGACTTCATAAAATAATAAATTTGAAGATTTTATACTTATTTGATTAGTTAAATTGCTATTTTTTTCTATTCCTTTCTTAAGTTTGCCAGCGCAACTGCCATTTCAACAACTGTTGTTGTGCGGTGTTACCTTTAGATGCCCATTTTGTAAATAAAAAATAATTAATTCCTTTCCATCTCCTTTAGCACATGGTACATACATTGGCAAAATGAGGCTGGAACCAAACAAGCCCACCCAGTTGCCAATTGACTCCAACTTCCACTTTGGCGCCTCTACAAGGAATTATATTATTAGGTAAAACATTTCTGTTATTTGTATTATAATTAAGAAAGTTTGATGAAGACCAATTTTGCAGTCTCGAAAAGTCATTAAGACTGCAAAATGTAGCTAGTTAGCTTAGAGAACTAATTTTACATTTGCCAAATGAAATGGCTCCGATGCTAAATTAGTTACTTATATGATAGTTTTTAATTTTTTTATAGATAAGCATAATATGAATAATTGAATATATGAGTATTATTTTAATGAATCGGACAGTGGAAACTATAAAGGAAAGTTAAAAGTTATGTACCTGTAACTATGAAGATGTGTTTGGCTCTGCACAAACACTCATTTTTTTAAGTAAAAAGTTGCCAAAGGAATAGACGGTTCACCTGATGGTAAGTGAATACCGCCGCCCATGGACATTTGTTACATCCGAGGGTTACAGATGCGTTGACAACTTTTTGAAAACTGGGCTCCGGCTACATCACTCACTAGACGAAACGCGAAAGTATTAGTCATACTTCCGCTTTACGCTGGTCTTCTGTGAGGTCGTGGTACTTACCCGGACGGGCCTGCCGCCGTAATGTTTTATTTTTCCATTTGCACTACATGTAAGCTATCCCTATATATGGAGCCATTCAATAGAGATTGAGAGCAACAAACGGGGCTAGATAAAGATGATCTGATAGAGGGGGGGGGGGGGGAGGTTTCCCTTTTATTTACACCATCATTTAATACTAAATTTTAGATGAAATGTAGGTTTTAAAATTGCTTGATTTAGTTTACAACAATTTGGTCAAATCTAACTGAGTATTAGAATGCGCTCATCACCCAAATGTAACTATCACAAAAAGTTTTAAAAATAGATTATGTTTAATGAAAATATCAAGTTTAATTTTTTTTGATAACGAATTATAATATTTTTTTGGGGTTCATTTTTTTTAAAAAAACTGTTAGTTGCGAATTGAGAACGAAAATATGAACGAATTATAATATTTTTTTGAGGTTCATTTTTTTTAAAAAAAATGTTAGTTGCGCATTGAGAACGAAAATATGAACGAATTATAATATTTTTTTGAGGTTCATTTTTTTTTTTTTTGCGCATTGGGGTTCATTATAATATTTTTTTGAGGTTCATTTTTTTTAAAAAAAATGTTAGTTGCGCATTGAGAACGAAAATATGAACGAATTATAATATTTTTTTGGGGTTCATTTTTTTTAAAAAAAAAACTGTTAGTTGCGCATTGAGAACGAAAATATGAACGAATTATAATATTTTTTTTTGCGTAAAAGTTGTAAAACACTGTGCAATGGAATTTAAGACTCTATTAATCCTTACAGGGAACGGCCGACGGGAAACTCGCGCGGAATAATGGAGGACTTGCCTAATACAGAGGCGGAGGGCGCTCTACTAGGTCTACCCGAAACACAAACTGAATTGGACGTAAGTGTTGACTTCTTCCTAATCTATCGATTTGATACTAAAAAATAGAAAAGTCTGCTTGTAAAAAATTAAAGTAACAGCCTGTAAATGTCCCACTGCTGGGCAAAGGCCACCTCTGTGCAGAGGGTATCAGGGCATAGTCCACCACGCGGCCCCACCGCGGATTGGCAGACTTCACATATTTTAGAAACATTTTTTCTAATTATTATTTCGAAAACATGCAGGTTTCCTCGCGATTTTTTCCCTACCGCCGATCACGTGATAATAATTCAGCACTGAAAATTAACAATTCCATTGGTGCCGGCATCGGGGATCGAACTCGGCCTGCTCGAGTAAATGAAATTAAAGGCGAGCGCCCGGACACTGAGCTATCACGGCTCTCGGCGGTCGGTAGACAAGATAGTATAAATAATTCCCTTTTATTTATTTACCCATTTGTTTCGTTTCTCCACGAGACTCCAACGTTATCGACGCACCGGTATACAACCGCTGCGTGGATTCCGTCGCGGCAATCGATGTTTTACTGTTGAGTTATTATCATTTTAGAATTTGACAGAGTTCAACACGGCACACAACCGCAGGATATCGATGCTGGGAATATCAACGGACGACGGCTCCGACGTCATCAAGGTGAGCATACGACAGTTGTTAAGGCTGTTACCGAGTTACCGTGTTTGTTATGATATCTTAACTACATATAAATGTACATTTATGTTATCGTGTCTTGTAAGGACCACTTGTAATACACACACAAATTACACGCGGACAAACGCCCAGGTCCGAAACGATTATCTGTGGCTCTCACAAATATTAATTTGTCCGTTTGTAAATCGAATCTTTGACCTCACGCCGTGGCAATTGTGCTTCAGAGTTATCTAAACTCCTGAGAGTAAAAGACTATTGGATGGATGCTAGCATGATGTATGATGAATTAGTTTACTGAGTTATTTTACTGAGTTAGTTTATGTAGTTTTTATTTTAAAAAAAACCTTAATCTTAATGTAGGATAACATTATCCCGTCTGGTAAGGATGTGTGTGACACGGCATTTTTTTTTGTTTGTTTAAACATTGCCCTTACTTTAGGATAACATTATCCTGTGTTGTAAGGACGTTTTTACAAACATAAATTATACGTGGACAAACACCTAGATGCGATATACTATCTGTAGGTCACACAAATAGTTGTCCCGTGTGGGAATCGAACCGACGACCCCCGACGGCGAAGCCAATACCTTTGCAACTGCGCCACGGAGTCATCACATTTGTGGGGCAAAATGTCCCGTGTGGGAATCGAACCCACGAACCGCGCCGCCGAAGCCAGATATCACGGCAACTACGCCACAGAAAACGTTCAAAATATATCAAAAGCTAAATAAAAAAATGTAAAGGGAAATTTTTGTGTTAAAGGCTATTATAATATTAGGGATCATTTAAATGATAACACACCCTTTTTTTTCCTCGGGAAAAATCCTTTATGGATCCCCTGCCACTGGATCGGGGGAGTGGCAGGGGTATGTGGGAGTCCCGTTGAAAAACGGGTACCCACTAAAAACCCACGTTTCACCTGTCTCTGTCGCATCGGCCGGGGACACGGGACTATGGCCTTTTTAGGCCTCCTCTTCTGGCGCTGTGCCGGTGCAATTGGCACAGCACACGTCACGAGCCCCATATTGAGCGACAGACATCCCCATGTCCGCCGCTCAGGGTCTCACTATCAGAAATGATAACACACCCTGGAAATGAATTGATCGCTATAAATAATGGTAAAAAAATGCCCCGCCGAAATGCCCGTTTCTTTCGCCGCTTCTCAGGTAAGTGCTTCTCTTTGAACCGGATAGAGTTCTGACACTCAATAAGTGTAATGCTTCCGTATTGAATAATATATAAAAGAATGTATTGGTGTATGTATGTTCACCTAAAACTTGAGAACCGTTAAGCCCTATTGATATGAAACTTTGCTCTCATCATTATATATTATTTTTATATATTATCTTTATATATTATCTAACTCTACTATATGTGCGTATGTCACTGAACTCCTATTAATGAATTTATGAAAAAAAAAAAAAAACGGCTGGACCGATTTTAATGAAATTTTTTGGGTCTTTAGGCCAATTCGGGAACGGTTTAGTTAATATAGGCTTAACTTACCACACTACCACCGGTTCACTAAACTAGACCTGAATAGAGAAGAAACGGCAGGAAACTCTGCGGTCTTGTTCACTTTTTTGTTATTTTTTTTTGTGATACATATCGATATTCGAATGTTAGGAGAGTTATTTCCGCAATCCTTGTCCCAATGTATTCGCCCTTGCCATTAGTATAGCTTTTACAAATTGTTGAATAAAGATATTCGAATTTGGAACTCTCGAACTTTCCCAGCCGCCAACCGTTGCCATTAGGATGACTTTTACAAATTGTTGAATAAAGATATTCAAATTTAGAACACTCGAACATTCCCAGCCGCCAACCGTTGCCATTAGGATAGCTTTTGCAAATTGTTGAATGAAGATATTCCAATTTGGAATTTTCGGGTGAAGTGCTAGTACTGAATAAAGATATTCAAATCCGGAACTCTCGAACATCCCCAGCCGCCCACCGGCGCCAAGCGCACCGCAGCCATGCCGGGCGGCGTGGCCAAGAAGCAGCGCCGAAACGTCTCCTTCAACGAGGAGGTGGACATCATCAACCCGGAAGACATCGACCCGACGGTGGGCAGGTTCAGGAACCTGGTCAAGTCGACCATCGTGCCGAACGCGAACAACGCGCCGAGAAAGCTCAAGCTGCAGACACCAGACGACGGTTAGTGCTTGTGCGAGGAGTTACGGATGTCGGCGACAGCGTTACCAACTGTTAAAAAAAACCCCTGAAGCAATTAAAAAAAGAAAAGCGAAGTAACAGCCTATACATGTCCCACTGCTGGGCAAAGCTCTATACAGAGGGTGCCAGCGTGTAGTCCACTACGCGGCCCCACTGCGGATTGGCGGCCTTCACGTATCTTCGAAATATTTTTTTTGTTATAATTTCTTGCTCAGCGGTGATGGAAAACTTCGCGAGAAAACCTGCACATTTTAGAAATAATAACAAAAAAATAATTAATATATATTTCGAACATACATGAAGTCCGCCAGTCCGCAGTGGGGTCGCGTGGTGGACTATGCCCCAACACCCTTTGTACATATTGGGCCTTTGCCCAGCAGTGGGACACACATAGTCTGTTACTATACATTTTTAATAAGTAGATGGAATTTCATTAATTAATACAATGTATGTGCACGAATAAACTCTTCCCCGCAGTTCATCATCACCACTCGCTGAGGTTGCAGGAGATATCGAGGGGTAACAAGCTGTACTCCGATCTACCAGCTCCGAGCTCCCACCTGAGCCTCATCGGTGCAAGGTATGTTTTCTTTTAATATTTCTCGGTGGCGCAGTTGCTAAACTACGGCTTCGTCGCCGGAGTTCTTTTCTTGGGTTCGATTCCCACACGGGAAAACTATTTGTGTGACCCACAGATAGTTGTTTCGTATCGGCTCGGGAGGTAAGGAAAAAGTATTACATATTATATGTAAGAAAACTTATTTTCTGTAGCCCGCAAGCAAGGGTAGCGATAATATAATAAAATAATAAATGTTACGTCCAACAAGATAAGTGTAAAGAAAAACCCGGCCAAGTACAATTCGGACTCGCGCGGGAAGGGTTCCGTACCATTATCTATTGAAACGGCAAGAAAATCATGCCTGTTCTATGGGAGACCCAATTAAATATTTATTTATTTAGATCTTTAGTATTTGTTGTTATAGCGGTTCATGACATATAGTCTGGTTACAGACGGATAGACAGACAGCGGAGTCTTGTAATGCGTTCCAGTTCTACCCTTTGAGTACAGAACCCTAAAAAGGCTACAAATGTTTTCAACCTCCTATTTAGTGTCCTATCTATAATGTTCGGCTCCGGCTGTGATGTTTTTTTTAGTATTTAAAAAATCTTGGGCTTCGGTGAAAAGTCCCTAGTTTAAAAGCCCCCTTGTAAAAACAAACACAATATATTTGTGCGGTCGTAAGTCTAGCTGCTCTTGCTTTGTCTTCCGTTGTTCTTCTGCGTCCTTCTGTATAGACGTAAATCGACAGTGGCTACCTCTGGGTTCCAGATTGGGGCTGTCTCTGCCCAACCCCGCGCCCGACGTTGAGCTTGAAGGTCCCGAGCCGCATCTCAACATGCAACCGCCTTTGCCGCATGCAGGTAAATGTATTTCGCAGTATCTCTCACTTAGTTTCAATCGGGGTTTCGTTTGCATGGTAAATGTAAATCATATAAATGTAAAAATGTAAAGACATTTGCAAGGAACCACGAAACCACGGCGTGTTCCATCGGGCACCATTACTATTAGCAAATTCAATTTAGAATGGTGATGACACATGTTATTTGTATTAATCCAGAAATAGTCATCTAATACATTACGTTAAAAGCAAAATCGTCTAAACTATATCGTACTATCTACAATAGTAACCGAGTTTATGTGTTTTTATTTTGAAATCGTTCAAATAACTATACTTGTATCTCTTGTCACGCGCACTCAGTCACGGTATCTATACAAGGTTTACTTACCTACACATAGCGCCGCGCGCATTGTCGTGCTATACCATCTGTAATTTGCAGAGGCAAAGCAAAAGACTGAGCTTTTGTGCTACGTGAAAGTGCTATTGCGTGAAAGCTATTTTACCAATAAGATGATTTTAAACGTTAGCGTTACGTTTACTGAGTCGATTTTTCTTTGAGCAGCGCCTGAGGAAGCCGGCCCTTCGAGCGAGCCCAGGAAGAAGAAATACGCGAAGGAGGCGTGGCCGGGACGGAAACCCGGTCTCATATCCGGCGTGTAACGGCACGTAGCGCTGTAGCGCTACGCCAAGTTGCACGCAGTATGCTACGCCGGTGCTTCAGCGCTACGGCGCTATGGCGCTACGAAGCTACTCCGCTACAACGCTACGAACTATGCGAACAATCGTTTCCTTGTACATTTTGTGTGTAATCGAGCGGTTTGAAAATCACCCGAGTAATTTGAAATTCTACAATGAATACCTTGTAAGTGTCGAGTGAATAAACGGATGGTGAACGAAGTGCTGCAGTTTTTTTTTGTGTATCTCTCTTTTCTCTTTTTCCTACCCTTATCCCACTTAGGTGTTTGCGCGACATGTGAATCGTGTCGTAATTTATTAATGATGTATTACAACTAAATAATTTATTATACAAATAATATATTGTTGATTTTTATGACCGTTTGGTAGACGTAGACCCTTGGGTATGAACATCCAGACCCGGAACAATTATCTGTGGGTCACACAAATACTCTTGCCGTGTGGGAATCGAACAGACGACCTCCGACGGCGAAGTCGGTTATCAATACATGTACAAAGGCATGAGTAAAAAAAGGTAAATTAACAGCCTATTTTAGTCCCACTGCTGGGCAGAGGCCTATATCAGTCCCAATGGTGGGCAGAGCCCTCCTCTAATAGAGGGTATTAGGGAATAGCCCACCACGCGAACCCACTGCGGATTGGCTGACGACACAAATATTACATAATAAAATATGTAGGTTTCCTAATGATGTTTTCCTTCACCGCTGAGCCCGTGATAAGTCAGCACTTAATTAACAATTTCATTAGGGCCGGTACCGGAGATCGAACTCGGGTTGCTTGAGTATATTGAATTGAAAGAGAGCGCCCGGACAGTGAGCTATCAAGGCTCCATATTGTGTTTTTAATAAATTATTACAATATTCATAAGCTTTAGTGTTTTCTTATTCATAACCATTCAGTACGTGAATAATGAATAGCGTAATTATTTATGCTTCTTGACGTTAGCTGAGCGATTATTCGACTACATAAAGCCAATAAACATGATTTGTCACTTAAAATAATCAAAGAAAGGTCAAATCTAACAAAGCTTTTACTGTTGTGTGAGTGCACTTAAGGCGGAATTACTTTGACCGTGAACCCTCGTTACCTTCAACTACTAACACAATCTTTATTCTTATGGAATAAATGTAAAATATAGTAAATATATTGCAGTGCCAAATTATACAGACGATTTCTTTCTTCCCGTCCATATGGACGGCCAAAGGTCTGGTAGATATATGGGTAATATCTACTAGAGCCGGACCATAGACCGATGCTGGTTATTTTTAACTTTAATGTTGATAGTGTAATATAAAACGCCTTAAATTAGTATCGATCAGATGCACTTTTTTTTATTAAAAAAATTTTATTGTACAAAAAGTTTGCACAAAATAATGTACAATTTAATACAATTAAATTGAATACAATTAATTTAATACAATTTAATCGTACAAAATAATGTACAATTCGGAAATAAAGTTGATTTATATTTAAGTTATTATTATTTTAAGTTTTATATGTTTAATTGATAACGCCCTAGATATCTAGGCAGAATTATATCGTTTCCAATATCAGGATTGAGTAATAGGTACGTTAGTGAAGTTAATGGAAGTTAAGTTAATTATTGTAATCATTTATAGTTATGTATCTATTGTGTTGCTACTGGTTAAGAAGAATTATTAATAATATCAAAGAAGATGAGATGTCTGCGTTATTGAGACAGTGTGACATTGTGACGCTGCCGCTGCTAAAGTTGTTTTGCTATAATTATACGTATTTGCTGTAATTATTTCAATCATGTGATAGCTCTCGTCGCGCACAATGGATAATTTATTTTCTAACAAGGGACGTTAGGGCCACAATACTATCTACTATGTTTCTATATCTTAAATTGTCACAAATCGATATGCGCTTTTATTTATCTTACGCACATCACTATACGATTTCTTATGACCCATAAGTGTGAGCGAGATAGACATACAGAAATGATTTAAGCCGAGTATAGTAAATCTTTCCAAGGGCGAGACAGAAGAAAAACTTACTTTTTTTAAATCGTTAAAAAACGATGGATTAATATTTGCCTTTTTTTAACTACAGAGTACAATAATTTAGATCACAAAACGTGGCACCTTTGTGCACCTGTATATTCAAATGCATTTATAGCCGAATGACGCGCGGACAGCGGTAATTTTCGTCATTTTCAATGCGTCATTGTGTTCAATTCATGTAACGTCCGCATTGTCTATTACAATTGATGAATGGGGCAAATTGGCTTGTCGATGGGTCACGTTGTATATTGTGATTGATATGGAAATATTTATTATAAAAATTATCTCATAACTATGTAACAATAATTTAGTTATGTTGTAACAATTATGACTTAATTTAACTCAATTATTATTTCTCTATATGTATATAAATAATATATAAAACAAATTGTGTGAGACATTCCATAAGTTATATGAAAGAATGTATTAAGTAAGGGATAAGAGGTTATTCATATTGCTAATGCTAAATGTGACCGCATAGTGGTTTTTAAAAAGTTGTCTTTGAGGACATTAATTGTTTGCGTTTTATTATGTTACTAAAACGTAAAAAAATAATTTTTATTGCTAAATCTCTTCGATTATCGAATTACGATTTCGGTAGTTTATCGCAATTCGAGATATACGTCTAATCAGAATGCCCGTCGTGGCATACACTGCGTAGCTCATACTGCAGACTTGTTCGAACTTTTCAGCTGACTTCAAAAACGATGGAGGTTCTCAATTCGACTGTACCTTTTTTGTTTGTTTCAGAACTTCAGAACTATCAGAATCGACTGGGTTCACCGATTTTGATGATTCTTTATTTATTTCAAAGCTGGTGCTTCCCATGTGGTTGGGAGCACCAGCATATTATTTTAATTGGTATCGGATCTTGGGCTCCAGAGATACTTAGGGAACTCCTGAAAATAATCAATTATAAAATGAATACAGATACAGATATAATATCTCGCATATTTGAAGTCAGTTTTGTTTTTCGTTACTAAAAATGGACTTGTTTCTGTGAGAGGTTGGTAACCACTTCATGCCAAGTGATTACCGCCGTAGGACATTTGCAGTACGGTTGCAGGTGCGTTGCTACCTTTTAATACAGTGGGCCCCGGTTACCTCACTCACCAGACGAAACGCGGTTCTACTGCAGATATTTTCGTTGCGAACGCACGCAGTGGAATACCGAGCATATGCCGCTCCATATGTAGCTGAGTGACATTGAACTTCCTCGTACGTGTGAAGAACCAACAGTGGTGGACTTCGTCTTTATAGGTCATCACTATTTATTCATTTTTTTTAATCGGTTTTTAAAATAAAATATTGCCCTTACTTTAGGATAACTCTATCCTGCGTAGTAAGGACGTTTTATAAACATAAATTTCACGTGTTTGTCCACACAGATGCGGAACAACTATCTGTGGGTCACACAAATGGTTCTCCTGTATGGGAATCGAACCTACGACCCCCATGGCAAAGCTAATATTTTGGCAAGAGCGCCATCGCGTCGTCAAAGACTAAAATAAAGATGACAAATACTCAAAATTGCGAATTTTAAATAATCAAAGAAAAACTATGCAATGCAAATAGCCGATAGTTAGTTAGCTTCTTCCTTATGCAGTCTGTCCATTTCAAGTTCAAGATCGTTCGATAAAGACAATAAAAAAAATGAAGTTCTATGCGATAATCTTCATTGGGGGTCAATTTATTCCGACAGAATCAGTTTCCACACTTCAAATTTGTAAAGTTTTAAAGACATTAAATTCACTTCATAAAATGGAAAAATCTATAAAATACGAATAATAAACCGTTAATGATAAAAGTCACGAATGGCATTAACTGTTACAATTCTGCTGAAGGCAGGTGCGCTTTAACACTAAAGTTGAATTAATGGTATCCTTGCGCCTTTTATAATAGCTGAAAAAAACATCGCTAGGAAACATCACCATACTTTCGAAAGAAAAATAATAAAAAATATTTTGTAAGATAAGTGAAAACGATGTAACAAAAGAAAAGAAGTTGAAATTGTTGTAACAAAAGTTTATAACAACGGCAAAAGGTTGTTATAAACATTTTTAACACTTTTAAAGAAATATCTAGATTGGAAATTTAAAGAAATTGATTTATCTTCTCCAGCATATGCAAGGTATTGAGGATTCGTTTTTAATTTTGACATTTGACAAAACCCGTATAGCCCTGAATGTTTTCGTTGATCCGTTGTACGAGTACTGACATATTTTTAATTATATCGAACCCTCTAAGGTATTTGTTGGCCTCTTTTGGGTAACCCGCAGAAATCAGTGACCACTATTCTGCATGACTTGTTGCTCCATAGTAACGATTTCACTAACTCTATTTCCTTTACACTTCAATACTTTTGCTTTAGCCCATGAATATCTATCGTTAGATTGTACACGAGGAGGGAATAAGAAATAATTTATGAAAAAAAATTTTTATATATTGCCTTATAAGTAATGTTTTAGAATACTCAACAGCAAATCTAAACATTAAACTGCATGAAAGAAATCTTAAGAATAAATTATTTTTGAATTAGTTTCGGTTTAGCTTTCACGTGGTCCCATATTAATATCATTTTAATTGATAATTTGTCAGATTGATAACTTCTCAAAATCAAATAAAAATGTATAGTGAGTGAGTTTTTTTGAAGACGATTGTGTTTTATGTGAAGAAAAATGTTTGAAGCGTTCTTTTACTCTTTTGTAAGTATAATATTTGATTTGAACGTACTTTTCGTTCACCTGGTTGAACTTCTCAGCAAATGAAAATTATTTGATGCTGATATTCTTGACTTTACATTTATGATACACTTCAAAAGGCGAACTTTGGGAAAGTTACTCATTCAAAGTTTCATTGGATGCGGATTCAGAGAAATCACGTAGGGTATTAAAATAATAAGCATGTTTAGGTTTTGCCAACTGGAAATGAGGT